TTGCAATAAAGAAGCATGTATGCAGGATTTGATGTGCATTCTCCTCTACTGGCCCACCTGGAACAACGACCATTGTTATCCACACAGACGGCTGCAAATAAGAATCACATAGAAAATACAGTAAGGAAAACGTGTGTTAATAAATGATTTATTATCTACGTCATATTCTCGTAGCCAGTCATATCATATTAGGAATGAAACACTGTTATGTTTATCACTATTTATGTATTTTATGGCATTCGAATTACTTAGGAACGCTGTGGTATTTGTCCTCACTTTTTTAGCACCGCTACCATCGATGATGAAGGGGAACATTCTACTAATTCACAAACGTATCCTATAATCATAATTATACTGAATCCAGAACGTGGGTACTATTTAACTTATCCTTATCTGTGATAATATATAAATACAGGAGTGGTAACACTTAAAATGTGAACAAAGCCAGTGTTATTTGTTTGTCCGCTATGATGTTTATGTAACTACCTCTGTGAGCGTTCACGTAATATTGCAAGACTTCTCTTGTAACAGCGGAGATATTTCGGTATTCAGGTAGCTTGTCATTAAAAGGTTTCCTCTTGTAAAAAAGAATGTCTTCTCTGAATGTACGTTCAAAGTACAGTTAGAACATCTATGGCCTCATGTTAAATATTTTTTTAAAAAGACTGTTATTTTCTTTTATTTATCAAAGGGATTTCATTTCGTATTCCAAATGACTACCATTGCTGTAGTAGAGACAAAACTAAGAAACAACTTCTGTACTCGAGTACTTGTTTGTTTTTCCGTCAAAAATCGTCCTTCCATCTGACCACAGTACCAGAATACACTTGTCGACCCAGTGGGGAGTAAATCTCTCACAGATTCCACTAAACCGAATATTCCTTGGCACCAACTGGTGTTGTCATCGAGCAACTCTGTCATTGCTTATGCTCTGTAACTGCTTAATGCGAAGCTACTTACAAGATTGTACTCGATTGGCTACCAAACCATAACACCTAACAATCAGACCAATCAGAGAGCAGCTTGTTTGTTGATATGTTTTCTCGACGTATCAAATGCTGCCTTGTATGTATGCTTCGACTCAACTATCAACGGGTATCTGCCACTTGCCTGGAGTTATTTTGCGTGCTACCCTCTAACGGTATGTGTCGGGAGATACCCATGGCTCAAACGCCGCCTACCCCTAAAGGTCAGTCAAATCGCAGGTCTGCAGTGACAAGAGGCATCTCACCTAGGATGATTAGGTAGCACACTGCACGTGACTATTTGCACGTGACTTGTTAACGCCCCTTTTTATTTGATTACTCTAAACAAACATGAACTTTGTAGTATACTAAATAGAATTTTCTACCCAACAAATGACAAAGTCGTTATGTTTTTTTCCGGTTGAGGACAGGTGTGTATCATAATTACCTTCTTCACATTGATCACAACTTTTCCTACAGCTTTGTAACATATAGTTCGGATTTCTCTGGCATTCACCAATGGACGCCCAGTACGCACAATTCTGATTTAAATCAATACAGTCACCTGAAATAAAATATTTATTACAAGCCATGTAGATAAATAAAATAAATCGATATTGACGCACTTTCACGTTCCGTAAAACTGTCATTGGTGTATTGAGATGGATTGATCTGTCCACATAAACTAGTGGCTGTTTTAGTGAAAGCGGGAGGGATTGTGGGAGTTATAACCAAGTTCGCAATATATATAGATGAGTGATTGATAAGTCCATCATCGAATATAATCGATTCACATCATCATAGTGTAATGGAGATATTGTATTCAAATATGTGACTATTTAGAATAGAATGTGTTACATACCGAGCGGTTCTTCAGTTGTAGGCGTTGGTGGTAGTGGTGGAGTTATCGGTTCTGCTGTTGAAACTGGAGGCAGTGGCGAGCTTATTGGTTCTGCTGTTGGCACCGGAGTGAGTGGTGGAGTTATAGGTTCTTCTGTGGAAACTGGGGGTAGTGGTGGAATTATCGGTTCTTCTGTCGGCACCGGAGTGAGAGGTGGAGTTATCGGTTCTTCTGTCGGCACCGGAGTGAGAGGTGGAGTTATCGGTTCTTCTGTGGAGACTGGGGGTAGTGGTGGAATTATCGGTTCTTCTGTCAAAGTCTGTAGCGTTGTAATCCCTGTGTACACAACACAGAAAGTAATTAGTATATTATTCTGTATCGCGTATACCTAAACTATAATGTTAATGGATTGAAAACTATGTAGATTTATATAACAAAAAAGAATATTTATTGCGTTCATTTCAAACGGCACATTTTGGGTTTAAAATGCAATAAATGTTAGTAAAGAATCACAAATATTATAATTGAAGGTTTCTAGAATAATGTAATATGCTAATTATATTCTTGTAATTGTCTTTGTTGGGATAGAAATCGTGTAAATGAGATCTCAGCCTGTGCTCAAACGCTGACATGTAACAGGTTATAGTTCACAGCCATGACATCACGCCACGTCACGGTTGGTGCGTGTACAATGTGGCGTAAACAATGCGTGTACACACTATCGTTTGTTTACACGCGCGCGTTAAATTAACAGTAAGCGCACAGTGCAGTCACAAACATACCTTCTTCACATTGGTCACAACTTTTCTTACAGCTTTGTAACATGTATTCTGGATTTTTCTGGCATTCACCAATTGACGCCCAGTACGCACAATTTGGATTTAAATCAATACAGTCACCTGAAATGAAATATTTATTACAAGCAATGTAGATAAATAACATAAATCAATATTGACGCACTTTAACATTCCTTAAAGGGTGGTAGTCGTCGCGCCGCGCATGCGCGAGATATGGGTTTCATATTATGAAGATAGTGATTTTAACTGTTGCGTAAACCAACGAGTACAAACTGAGAGTTTACCAAGCTTCAATTAGTTTTTTTTTTAATGTTTTGAATGTTCGAAGAAGTCGCCGCCGGTAATTAGTGCAAGTGGTGTCCAGGGCAAAACTCTATCAACGTAAATGTCGCACATGCATTAGTAGAATTATTCGCTTTGAACGTATAACGTTACACGTAATTCAAAATGCATGCGCATGCGCTTATTATTCGATCAAACGAATGACGCCATGTGCTCGTTCACGTTAAAACAACATTCATTCTGTATATAAACCACAACACTGTCAATGCTGTATTGAGATGGACTGATCTGTCAAGTGTCACGAGTCTATCATCAAATAGGATCAGAACAAATCACATCATCATAGTGTAACAGAGACATTGTACTCAAATGTGTGACTATTTAAAATGGAATGTGTTACATACCGAGCGGTTCTTCAGTTGTAGGTTTTGGTGGTAGTGGTGGAGTTATTGGCCCTGCTGTGGAAAATGGGGGAAGTGGTGGAGTTATCGGTTCTTCTGTCAAAGTCTGTAGTGTTGTGATCTCTGTGTGCACAACACAGAAAGCAATTAGTATATTATCCCGTAACACTATGTAGATGTAGATTTATATAACATGATACACTGATGGTAGAATATTTATTGCGTCCATTTCAAAAAGCGCATTTTTTATTTTGGTTTAAAATGCAATGTTAGTAAATAACAAACATTGAAAGTTTCTCAAATAATGTAATGTGTTAATTATCTTTCTGTAAATGTGATCGCAGTCTGTGCTCAAACGCTGACAGTTTACAGGTTATACGGCACAATCATCACATCACGCCGCGTTGCGGACGATGTGTGTACAATGTGTCGTAAACAATGCGTGTTCAGCCTCAGCGTTTGTTTACACGCGCGCTTAAATTAGACAGTAAGCGCACACAGTAATAACAAGCATACCTTCTTCACATTGGTCACAACTTTTCTTACAGTGTTGTAACATGTATTCTGGATTTTTCTGGCATTCCCCAATAGACGCCCAATGCTCACACCTCTGATTCAAATCAATACAATCACCTGTAATAGAATACAGCTTTATAATATTGCCAAACGTAAGGCATGTAGTTCAACAAGATGAATTTACAAACAATTAGAAAACGACTGTTTTCAATGAATATTACGCCAATAGTGCCGTCGATGATGTTGAGCTTCCATACCAAACATGAATGAAGTGCTTCAACAATGAATGGTTGTGATGGGATACAATAAGCCAAATATTATGTAATATCCAATCAACCCAATACTAATTTATATTTACAGCTAAATTTCTACCTGAAATTATTAATGAAAATGACGATTATTTAATTGATAATTAAACTTATTACAAACCTTCCGGTTCTTCTGTTGACGTCACGGGTGATGTGATTCCCAGTGTGCGTGTATGGGAATAAAAATACAATAAACCATATGAAATACATATATTTAGTTATTTACTACGAAGGGGGTCGCTCGTGATATCACGTCCGATTATGCCACGTGGCATAAGGTTACGTCTCATCACAACTCCATAATGCCAGATAAAGGTCTACCAGTGCAACTATACAATATCAATACAAATTATTCTCGATATACAGCATAATATCACATGATGTAAAATATAATACGTCACCTGATCCATCACAGTTCATTCGGATACGTCGCGTCAGAGTATCAGCTGTAATTAACGAAAGGAAATTAAGTTATTGATATTAATTATGGTTATAATTGCAAATAACTATTACTAATTGCGTCAACAATTAATGCGTTTATTCAATTAATAATTAACTTACATTGTTATTAATTTAAGCTGTCAATTTTAATTTATGGGTTAATATACAATATTATTATAATATATCGAAGAAATGGTAAAAATAAATGCATATCATCCTACTTTGGTCTTGGCAACGGTCAACAATGCTGTTTCCACATGGGAATGTTTCTGCAATTAAACTGTACAATGTTGGATCGTAAACTCTCAATTCGTCTCTTGTATTGATATCATTGTGTATGCCAGGGGTAGCATAAGATGGATTCTGATCGAAGTAGCTTTGAACGCCCTCTGCAAAATATTCATCAACGGTATTCATGGCATAAGTATTGGCCCAGAGTCCCCGAGAGCGTGCGTTGTTGTAAGCCCTTTGAAGACGTCCCTGAAAGGTAGAGTCTGCTGAAACAGCTGCGATCTTATGAATGCCATGAGAGAACTCATGAAGGAAGATATCTTCGGCGCTGTAAGGATCCCCTTGGTAGCAAAGGACGTTCTCTTCTGCTCCTGTCGATATAGGAATATGCAAAGTGCCTCCAAGACCACGTGCTCGTTGATTATAGTAAGCTGGGAGATGGGAATGTTCTGGAATACTCTGAGTAACCTCATTCTGTGACATAATACCTACACGACCATATTTATCATACATTTGCTGTCTTAAATCCCGCCGGTCGGCCATCAAAAACTTCACCACGTAGCATGCACGTGTAAGAGCTGCATCTGGTACACGGCTCGATGAGAGAATTGGGATGTTGTAAGCATGGGTATATTTCTGATAGAACGAACTCAGACCCATTGATCGTTGTACATCAGACGGTACTCTGGTTATAGACTCGCATCTAGTAGTATCTGTGGATTGACCTGATCTTCCACCATAGTAGACGGCGCTGTTGGCTATTGTTCCTATAAAAGACAGAGCAATCGTTGACTTTTCTACGACATGTTACATTTAGATTGATAATGGAAACACTTAAATGGCCGACTCACCTCCATTTGGCCACGTGGAAAAGAACTCCATTTCCACGGAAACTTGTTCATCCATCACGTGTTCTGTATCATCTGGATTGAAACAAAGTTACATACCATGAGTGATGCAAGTTACATACTTTAACAACAGAGTTACTAATCTGTTTTTGTGACAGCACTATAATAAAATAAACCCGATATATGATAAATATCATCCTGTTCTTGAAAGACCATAATTACATAAATTTGATTACAATATCACATGACAAATTAAATCTTACCACCAGTGATTGATCTCTTGAATATGTGACCGATCTGAAATGACGAAAACAATATAATTAGTGCATGAGTCATGGGGAATAATGTATAGAAATATAACACATAGAATAGACCATTTTCTGTTCACTGCGAGATCACGTGTTATGCGTGAAATCAAACGTAAAAACAGGACAAACAAAGGCCGTAGTGACAAAACATCGCGTGGGATTCGACAAACCGTGGAAGGTCCGTTAGTACATTCCATGGACAAACATAAACATTTTTTGGGGGTATTCTCATGTTCACTGATATACATTTGATGATGGTAAATTTTGATGAAGTAAAAATATTTCAAAGCCACATTTCTCCCTGAAAGATTCAGAAATTCAACTGTAAAAAAAATGATTTTTGCGGTAGAAGTTTGAACCGCCTTATTCGCACATTACGCGATATCTCATAGTGAACGAAAAAAAACACACCTCTTAAACAAAGATGCTAGTTTCAGTTGCATATTAATTGCATTGACTGTAATCCATCAGTATAGGTGTTCTTTTCATCTCCAAGATTAAGTCTGGGGCAAATAGACCTTTAGGATTTCAGTGTCAATAAATAAAAATAAAAGACAAATTAAAACACCACTACGAACACAACAGATAATATAGTTTTGTTCACGTCGCATCGCAAATGCGTGTAACGGAAGTGAGTGATAATATTTTAATATTTGTAATTCCTCCTACCCGATGCCCTTGGAAATATTCTGTAACAAACAGATTGTAACGTTGGCAAAACGATATTTCCTGAATATTCATCTCAACATATATGAATATATTTACTGGAATACTCACGTTAGTTTCAGAGAAGACTGTTGCGATTACATTCAAGAATATCAAAGCCCATATCACATCTACCCGTCTCGTAAGCACTCTGGAAAATGCCATCGTCACTGTTATCGTATCCCAATTCTTACTGTGAACACCTTTGGTTGAAACTAACCCTATAAAGCATTGTGTGCGACATTATGTATTATTCATGAATATTTAAATGTAATTAGTCTATCGCTTGTATTCATAAATTCGACTGATGTCTAGCCCGGGCGGCCAAATGAATGAATTAATCATCGCCTCATTTCCTTAATAAATTGCAAGTTTTTTTGTAATCACGTGATTTTAATTGACGCACTGCCCATTATACAAGTGTGTACCACTGGCTATGACAGCTCATAAGTGTATGTCTTTTTGTTTTATTGTTCGAAATATTGATTGCAACATGACGTCATATAGTCAAACTGAATACTAATATTCTTTGACTAGTTGTGCAAAGTCTTCTCGATTTGTGATTATAACATGTTACTCATAATGCAATCATAGTTATATTGTCAACGAGTTTAAACAAGACAAGTAAGTAAATAACGAGAACTGGAGAAATCGCGGAAGAGACCAGAGATCCCCACTAGGCGCTAATCTACAATCATCTGAGGAGATTACCTAAAATTGTCATTATACCGGACAGATGTATGTTTGAGGTATATAATACTCCATTACAAGGTTACAACATGTATGTACTAACAATCTTTGCTCAGACGGAGATGTCACGTGACCCGAATGTGCCGACCGACTCCGAGAACTGTCGAATGCACAGTGTAAACAGATTTAGGGATCACCCAGCTACGCGATTATGATCTTAAGCGTAATTAGAAGTAAACATCAATGTTTATTTATTACTTCAAAATAATCGGCGGCAAAACAGATAGATCAAAGAAATTGGTCAGTGCATGGAGGTAAAAAAAGAAAGAGCACTGACGGAAAATAAGTCTATTAACTAGACACTTGGACATTTAATCCCTTTGTAGTTGAAGATTGACCATATTTTATGCTCTCTGACGAGTCAGCTTTTGAAACACTTTATTTATATGATCCACAGAATTCCGCAAAAATATTTAACTTTTTATAGAATCTTTGCATCCTCGGCTTTTGTAAACCACTGGCGAGCGGTTGTCGAAAATCGCGATTATTGGTGCGATATGGTATAGTTTTCGCCGTCAACCTTGTACACCCGTAGTCGTCGTCACATGCAATCATGATGCTTTTTGTTTCTTCGCCACCACATGTACAAAAGGAGCGCTGAACAATTGCTAGTTCATTTTCAACTACTACAAGTCTGCCCATTCTTCCACAGAAAAATCTTCAACTATATCGCAAATTTCTATGGAGTTCATGTCACGCCTGACGCCATGTTTGTTACCACACAACTTTATCATCAGCGACGACATTGTTTACATTTATAGTGGAACTTGCTACAAAGTATCAACGAGGTTCCCACGCAATTTTGAACTTGAATTGAGGTCGTTCACAGACATCGGAGCAGAGAAAATAAAGATTTCTTTCGCGGCTACAGGCTATCTTTTTGACAAACTAAAAAAAATTCCAAACTATGCTGGTCTATTCAAATACAAGAATGCGTAAATGTAAATGCGTATATACATGACCATGATCACAATCATCTTAACACACCAAGTGAGAAGCGACTACATGTGTAGTTATCTGGGCAAAAGATTTTTGTTATGAGAAAACAATTTCATAAGTGAAATTCATAAACTGACGAATTTTATTATTCACATGAGATAATTCAGTTAATGATGGAAAGCTATCATAGAAAACCTTTCAAACTTTTTCAGAGCTGATCTCCAGAATAAATTCTCAGCACATGTATTTTGAAAAAAATAACAATGGAATAAAACACTTAATTTCTTAAATGATAATTAAAAATAATGTACTTTTAAAACTCAAAACTTATAAATAACTTGAAATAAATTACATGAAAATATGTAATATTCAGAAGACTTCATCAATAGCAGTAGCTTATAAACAAAAGGTATGTATATTCACAATTTACTGAGATGGAAGATGGAAGATATGAGTTGTCATGTTAATACAAAGCTTTCCCATTGTTACAGTTAGGTCAACAGAATGAGCCAGGTATAGTATTTCCTGTCCATTGTCAATGAATTGTTTATGGTTACAACCTCTATGTACATATATTGTACATCCCTGTATATGAGGTTTCCATTGTTACTAACGAGGATATGTTACACTTTCTTCTGTGTGCATTGTAAAGTTTACACATTTTTAAATGCTTTTTGAAACGTTTTTGGTACAGAAGTTTATTTCGAATTGTGTGCCTTTTTAAATTGTTTAAATGCCTATCTGGTTTCTATAGTTGGTTTTATTGCAGCTCCTAATTTCTTAAAGTAGGCCGCAAAATAAAAACTGGTTGTTAACGGAAATACCTTGAAGACATCTTCCAGCATGCACTGAATATTTATATATATTCGTCTGACACAGTCGATTGCGTTCGACTACTGGCAATATCCACTGATAGTATCCATTGGACCCGAAACGCAGTCACGGCAAAACTTGGCCGAGCAATTACTCTGTCCGTACTTAATAATCATCCTCACTACGAGCCGGAAATAAAACATATTACCAACCAGCACGGTGAATCCATGGCGGTAAAAAGAATCCCTTTCGATCATTTATCAAAATTGTGTTATTTAGAAAAACGCTACGTCCACGGCCTCGATACCAGTAACGTGGAAAGCTTCAACATTTGTTTTCATGACATGCGCACCGCGTTTCATTCCTAGGGATTCTACATTGGAATGAGATTGTCGATCGACCACACACCAGCGTGTGGACTTTTCCCGACGATCGCAGTGGGCGAAGGTTGTTGAATAAAGGGTACTAGTACACATTATAATACAATTATAATATAATATTATTATTATTACGGAAGCCATCTTGGAAGATGGTTATTAACATCGCTCCGTAAGTTTCTCAAATTTAGTTAGTAACTTGGACATCTACAATCAAGTATTCTCCCTAAACAGTTCCGTAAAGTTGTTTATCACATCCTGACTAAATATGGAAGAAGTAAAAAGAATGAGGAAAGAGCTACGCGATCCAATGTTCGTATACGACAGTGACGCTATTGAGGACAAGACAGAACAAAGAACTTCGAGAAAGACAAAGACAAAGAAAGGTAAAAATAGTAAGTTTTATGTTGTCAAGAAAGGAAGATCGACTGGTATATTTACGTCTTGGGAAGAATGCCACGCAAGCGTTGATAAATACCCAAGTCATCTCTTCAAAGTTTTGATAATTTGTCAGACGCAGAGGTTTTTTTTGGTAACTACGACGCTAAACTCAGTGACGGACACCATCCAGCGGACGTTATAAATACTTGTACTTGTGATGAAGATTATATCGACGATGTAACGGAAACAAAATTACACCAGCTGTACACAACTCCAGGCAAAAAAGAATCCAAGAATAGCGGAAAAAATCGCGCGTCTGAAAAAGATACTTTTGGACAGTCCCTACTGACAGCTTTGAACTCTACTCCGGCACGTCAAAACCCAGCTACCTCAATAACCACGGACCATATAAAGCGTGCAAATGAAAGTACACAGAAACTTGAAACAAGTATCTCACTACTAGAGGATAAATATACCGAGATTGTAGATGTTAACAACGAAGAAAAACGCATTTTTGTCAACAAATTACACGAGTTGGAATCAACAGTAATCAGCAACAACGCAAACACTACACCTGAAATCGACAAGCTGAAAGACACGACGTAATCTGTTCAAAATCAATGGCCACCCAAGCGGCAGTTCACACTGAGTTGGATAACAGTCTTGCAAGAATGGAAATCTTTGTGAAAAACCAAATTGACGAAGTCAGAAAAGAAATGCATAAACAGTACCGCGAAAAGTTATTAATCATCGAAGCCGACTTCCACTCAACAATAACGAAAATGCAAATTAGCCACAATCAAGAACTAGATCAAATTAAAGATAGTTTACTAGCTATGCAGCAGCCAACCGCTCCCACAATGAAGCACACAGTAGACCAGCAAATAGAGACAACCGTCATAGATATACCAAATAATTCTCAAAGTCCAGTCACGAATGGTTTAACCCCGGAAACTGAAGAGACTACCGAAAATAAACAACACAAATACAAAGACCCTACTGACAAACAAGTTCGCGCTCCCAGCAATCCCAAATCTACGTCAGAAACCTATTAGAGGTAATCGCACTGAAAACACTAACAAGCAAAACAGAAATCAAGAAATTAATAGACGGGGATTCCATCACTCGTCGTATAGTAGCATCTAAAATGTTTCCTCGTACTTCAGTCGAACATATCAAGATGTACACCACCACAGAGGTCATTGAAAAGATGGGCGGAATCACGTCATCCTCCGTCGACACTGTCGTCTATCACGTCGGTACAAACGACCTGAAGGATGGTATATCCCCACTAGAATGTGTCAACAACTTTTTCTCGCCTCATTGATATTACAACAACCAACATGCCGAATTCACACATCTTTATTTCCGAAGTACTCGAACGTCATAACAATGATACAATGACAAATAAAAAAGATACGAGAATTTAACACAATGTTATCAGACAAGACAGTAAAGTACAAGAATGTAACCATCGTTAAACATGACGACCTATCAGCGAGTATGAAAGTGACGGCATACATATCAACATTAAAGGCGTAGCTCGCTAGTACAAGACGTAAAGCAGGAAACTCGAAAACATCGTAATGTCATTACTTCTACACCAGGCAACACCTCTGAAAACCAGCATCGGGAGCATAATTACCACTATAAAGAGAAGAATGGAAGAAATAATAGCTGGCGGCCACCTCCTCGCTCCAAACCATCTCGTCCAACGACAGAGCGCCCTCACCGCCCAAATTATCAAAGATTTCAAAACATCGTTCCAGAAAGTCAAGATAGCGACAATGTGTTTTCAAAATTCATGAAATTTATAGACTTTGTGAACTCATTCTAAGTCAAAAGCCAATGTACAAGTAAATGACAAGACAAGGTATTTCATCTATCATACTTATTTTGGATATA